AACAAATACTGGGGAAAACAAGGTGCTCAGATCCACAATGATGAGAGCAGTAAAGAAACCTCAAACAGTGTCAGAAAACACAAAAGGAAACTAACATCAGTTTTATTTCTAGTCTCACTGATATCTTCCAAAGAAAACTCTGGCAATTGCTACTCCATTTAGAAGCAAGGATGACTTTCAAGATCCACAAGCCACTAACAAGCTGCAGTTTGCCAATGTTCTTGCTAAGGGCCAAGACCTGAATCTATGGAAGTGAATGATGACAGAGCTATAATTGAGTTCAATGGCGGCAAACTTGACCCTGGGAGAGCAGGATTTCTGACGCAAACTAAGAGTTAATTACTTAAAAACAGTTAATCCATTACCTCCATTCTTAGATATTAGGAAGGGAATAGGGTATGTGTGTTCATTCATAAACCGCTTCCTCTCAGCTGCCTTACTGTTAGGTTCTGCAATTTAAATATCCAGAGTTGATAAACTATTATTTTTTCAGAAGTGTCGTCATCTCATTGTTTATTATGAAAGCTTATCCTCTCGATAATACACCTAGCCAGAAAACAAATTCTGTTTTACAAATATTTTCTAGGTTTTGAAATCTGTTTTTCATTCTGAGGAATGAAAATTAGACCTTTTTAAAATTTCTTGAAGAAATATGAGCTGGAGAGACACCTACCCCAGAAAAGCCAGCAGCCCATTGGTGAGGGTACTCACCTGAGCTGTGAAATACCCAAGTTCAAGTAACTGCTCCAAATAAGGTCCAGCAGGGACTTGAACCTGAATTTTTCACATCTCAGGAGTGTTTCCTAACTACCTTCCTATAGTGCCAGTGTCTTGTTTGTTCTGACCCAATGAATATTTATCTATACAGAGTGAAACAGTGCCAACAGGAGAGCGACTATAGTCTGAATCAGGCAGAGTGCCCATGATCTCTCTCTCTCTCATTTTTTACCAGAAATTCCAATCTGAACTTGACAAAAGCTGTATTAAAACGTACGTTTCTGAAAAATTTAAATTTCAGTGAATTGTTTTTGACATGTTTGGGCTCATATCCTGGTCTAGAAGTGAGGGTTTCTGGAAAGATAAAATAAGTCACCATGGCCTGATGAAATACATCCTAGAATACTCAAGGAGCTGACTGAGTGATATCTGAGCCATTAGCGATTATCTTTGAAAACTCATGGAAGACAAGAGATTCTAGAGGAATGGGAAAAGGAGCAGATATAGTGCCATTTTATAAAAGGGAAATAAGGATAACACAGGGAATTATAGACCAGTTAGACAGCAGCCAGAAGATTTAATCTACTTGCCAACAGTGTCTGAAGCTTGTGCAAAATTGAGGGTGCAAATTAATGGGACACTTTCCCAGTATTTTGAAGCCTGGTTTACACTTAAAAGCTTTGCTGGCATAGCTATGTTGGATTAGGAATGGGGGGGGGGGGGAACATGACTAATTGACAACCTATGCTAGTAAAAGCCCTGGTGAACATACAGTTATACTGGAAAAAGTCCATGTTTGGGAAATGTATAGCTTGTATCAAAGTAAAAGGACTCTTGGTACAAGCTGCATCTCCACTTGGAGGGTTTGCTGGTATAGCTATACACTACAAAGGATTAGCGGGTAAACAGGCCTCATACATATAGAAGTTTGAGGAGTAAGAGACAGACTTCAGAATTCACAACCCCATGAGATGAATAGAAGAGTTCACACAAATATGAGAGCCCCATTTTTCATGGGAAGTGTGGATGGGGGAAGCCTCTTGTAGCAGGACCACCGCAGTTGTACTGTACATGATGATGTGAAGCAGGATTTCAGCAGGCTATGCAAGGAAGCCACTACCCCAGCACCTGTTGAGCTCAGCTGCACTGGTACTCTCTGAATACCACTATACAACAGGTATTTGGGGACAGGGGTTCCACTAGCCAACTCCCCTCCTAATTGGAAGGATCACAAGCAGAGTAAAGGCTACTCTTATCTCCACGAGTGGAGTAGGAGTACCAAGCATGTTGGGGTTGGTCAAGGGGCAGGAGGGGAGACATTCTTTCCCGTAACCCAGGACTAATTCTCAGTGCACTGCTTGATCTGTATGCTCTGGTGGGGGGACAAGTTGTGGGCCAGCAGGCTGTTCCCACCTCTCCTCTGTTTCAGACTGTCTGCAGACATCTTTTAATCATTAAATGAAAACATTTCATTTAAACAAAGTCATTATACAAAAATATTGTAATGACTTGGCTTAAGAGGGCACTAGTGTCCTTAAGAACTGTTTTGTGTCTGTCTGCCATGTCTTACCCAAGTTCAATCTTCTGTGTGTATTGTAAGATTTTTGGGTCACGCCACTGTAGCAGAAGGGGAGTTGGTGAGTTAGCGGTAGTTTAGCTGTAGGGTAGAGGGTGGTTAGCAGGGGGAAGGGAAACCCAGGGTAGAGTGTAGTATGGGTTTGTGTGGGGTGGGTTGGGTTGCGTACATGGTTCACCAGCCAACACTCCTTCTCTGGAAGTCATATGCATGCACCCATGCAAGGCGCGGGTAAAAGTGCTGGGAAAAGGCTGCAGCAATAGATGAAAGTGGAGGGGGGGTGGTTTCAGGCTGGCAGGAAATAAAAGAAAGGGCAGTGCAACTAGGGTCAGACATGCACAGAGTGGAATTCAGGGTGAAGAGTACTCTTGTGTGCGCAAAGACATTACGTGTATACCTAACTAATACATCTGAAACACGGAAAACCATAAAAGAAGCATTTTGGTGGAAATCACAAATTGTGTGGGGAAAAATAAAATTCTGTGGAGAACATGAATTCTGAACAAATTCTGCATTGCACAGTGGCACAGAATTCCAGCAGGAGTAACTGTCCAACCTCATCTGTTACTAGCTCCTTCATCAGGAGCTATGAGGTACATAGAATTATTAGAACCAGCCAGCAGAAGAGCTAAAATGGGAACTCATGGGCCATGTCTATGCTACAAAATTATGTCGACCTAATTTACAGGAATAGCAGCTAGAGCCCTGTACAGGGTAGGAGCCCATGACTGCATGCCAGATTTCACAGGGGAGATCAGATTTCATGGTCCGTGATGCATTTTTCACAGCTGTGAATTTGGTAAGGCCCTACCTATAATAATACAGCACTACAGGTGTGTATGGTGCTTAACAAAAGAAATCAACATTAACAGGTCTGCCATAGGCCCTGAGCCTGGAATGAGTTCTGCACAGGAAGACCTTTATGCTTGCACAAAGCTTATTGCAGGCTCAGGGCTTAAAACAACAAGAAATAATACGCCAAGAGTGAAATAAGACAGAATGGGAAGCAGAGAGTTACAACAGAGCAAGATCATGAGATACGTTTTCTCTTACATATCACCTGCTAGTTCCTTTTTAATTTAACACAATAAAGTTGCAGACAATAGCCAGAGGAGAGGCTCAGGTTCTTTACATGTAATTCTACAATTAAAGTGAACCATATAATTTTGCATTTGTCTAAAACAAATTTGGTATTCTTGGAAAATCGACATAACCTAATACTGTATTGCTTAAGCTGCAAAAGGATATAATTCGTTGTGAGTGTTGTAAAACTAACAGGTATTACCAAAAATAAATTTTATCACAATGACAGCATATTATAAACTGACTCTCCAGGACATTATAATTGAAAGAACACTATAATATGATTTTATATGACTGTCAAAAGTAACAGCAGCCATACAATGCCCTTAGATGTCAGTAGCCCTGCATAGCAGCACAAGAGGGAAAATGTTCAGTCTTAGTTCCCTTTGTATCTTGTAGCTTTTTAACCATCTGTTATTAAAAACAGTTATGATAAGACCAAGCAGGGTTTAAAATGTCCTATTAGTCTGTCCACAGTTATTTTAGAATAAAAATGATGCTTTATATCACTTAGCTAAGAACTAGTTCAGGCCTGGAATGATGGCTGGTAAAGGTTATCACAAAACCTAGTAAGACAATTCTCCCTCAAATAGTAAAACACTGATTAAATTATATTGTGCTAAACACTGCAGAAGTTGATCCCTCATTGAAATCAGATAGAGTCACATCATAACCCAAATCAGTGACAATTAAGTTTACATTAAAATGGGGGAAAGAGAGGCGCATGGATGGTAAATAAATAGACTCAAAATATAAATTACTAGGCTTTAACAAAGTGTTTCAAATGTGTCTTATCTGTTTTCACTTATATTAAGGGAAGCTTTTAGTAAAGGAATAAATATTTAATTTTTCAATGCCTCATAGTAACAGAAGACCAATTGCTCTCCAACAGCAGATTGGGTATTTAAGAAGATTGTTCCAACTGAATCTTCCTTTTCATCGCAAATAGTCATACTATTAGCTATTTTATTCCTTGAACACAAAATCAGGGACATGTAGTTGATTGGTCTCCCTCCCTCTTTCATTTTCACAATGTCAGGTGGGCCCTCAACACTAGCTAGAGGTGACAAATGCATCCTTGAATCCCAGCCCCAGTCTGCTGCTGTGTTCTGGGAGAGTAAAACAGCAGATCCCTCCCTCCCTTGCTTCCCCAAGTGGGCGCTAGGGGATTGTTGCACGGGAAACAGACACCAAAGGACTGAATGGATGGGTTATTTCCCCTCTCTCCCCACTCACTTTCTGTACTGGAGCATCTCAATATGAATTTCCCAGCCTACCATGAGCGCATAACTACCCACCACCATGCACCTAGTCAGCATCACTGCCCCAGCTATAATTACCCGCCCACTTCATTACCCCCAGCTAATTGTCTCACCCTTCATTATCCCATCCCACTGCCCCAGCTATAATGACCCGCACCCTTCATTACCCCCAGCTAATTACCTCACCCTTCATTATCCCATCCCACTGCCCCAGCTATAATGACCCGCACCCTTCATTACCCCCAGCTAATTGCCTCACCCTTCATTATCCCATCCCACTGCCCCACCCTTCATTACCCCCACCTAAACCCCTCCCAGCAATCCCGCCACCCCCGCCCCACTATCCCCCGCGCCGCCCTCACCGTGAAGGGGGTGTCCCCGACGCTGCCCACCGAGTAGCAGTTGTCCCCGGGGTTGACGGCCCCGGTGAGCACCTGGTGTAGATGCATGGCGGCCCCGCAGACCTACAGGCTGCGGCGGGGACGGCCGGCCGGCCAAGCTCCCCGGGGCCGGCAGCGCGGTGCGGCGCGGCGCGGCGGCTGCCAGCACCGAGCAGGACCCGGATGGCTCCGTGTTCCCTCCCTCCCGCCGCACCGAACGGGAAGTCACCGGCTCGCGCGAGCGCAGCCAATGGTGATCCGTGGGGCGCGCGAACCAGGTGAGCTGGCGCGCGCGCGGTGCACTCGCCGGTGGGCGTGGGCGTACAGGGCCGCGGCGCGCGTGCGCGCTGGGTGGGGGGAGCAGCAGAGTGCGTGGGACCGCACCCCAGGTGTGTGCGTGGCACTGCGCGCGGCGTGTGCACCAGGCCCTCTGCTGGCCGTGTGCCGGGGATCTCCCCTCTTCAGCGGGGCGCGGCCTGGGATCCCGAGCGAGTTCCGCAGGGTGTGGGAGCGCGTGCGCGCGCGCACACTCGTACGCACGCACCAGCCCCCAGGGCATGGAGTGGAGGCTCTGCTGGCTCCCAGGGCAGATGGAGCGGCTCTGACCAGGGTTCCTAAAGTAGGGCTGCAATGGCAGTGGCAGAGTTAGGGAGCAACATCTGTGCAACCACGGCCTGAGAGGAGATATTTAATGAGATACAGCCTGAGCTCCCCGCCCCCACCCCAGTGTTCAAAATAGTAGGAAGTGGTGGTAGAAAAATATTTTTGCAAATTATCAGAAGTGCTGAGACTCCATTAAAAGGAAAAAGTGCATGAGCCTGGAAGAAAAGTGAGACAATCTGCTGCTGAATTAGTAAAGGGGGTTTTAACAAAGGGGCATGAGCTAAAACCTCAAACGCACTGTGATGCCCTGTCCTGGGCAGAGCTTTGATTTTAAGGTGCTTGTGGTCTCTTGTTTATTTGCACTACTGTAAGTCTTGTATAGCTTTTGATGCCCCCAAAATATATTGTGCATAGTGCCTTGGGGAATTTGCTTCCACCAAGCACCACCCCATCCTTCTCAGCTTCCCCCACAGGTGTATGCAGTCCTCTGGAAACTGAGCACATGGGACGTGAGCGCCTTGCACTGTCCCTTGGAATCTCGTTTGTGCTCAACCCCTGGGGTGGGAATACCTACACAGAGTGTGTGGAAAAACTGAGCAGCAGTTTCAGATTTCCAATACTTATGTGCAGCATGCATTTAATCCTTCAGTGGTTTAACTGTAACTAGCTATTATTGACCTCAAGAATGGGGCCCATGGTAGTAGGAAAGATTATCATTGCTTTCTGTGTCAGTGAGAAACATGTAAAATGGTGTAGCTATAGCGGGGGATAGAGGGTTCCATGATTCACTTTTAAGTGCTCAAACTGTATCGTTCTATTAACTGGAACTAGGGAGGAAAATGTTTTGGGGAGGCATTTTTTTTGAGTATCAGAGGGGAATCAATTTGTATTAAACAAGAAAGAATAGTTTTGCATTAATTTCAGCGAGGTATCGGAGACAAGAATTCCACTAGTATCTTAGGCTCTAGTAGGTATGTTTCTATTCAGTGTATTTGTAATGACTGAGAGGATGGTCTTTTTTACAAAAGACTTTGCAGAGTAGTCAATGTTGAAACAACCGTAAGAATGTCAAGAATGCTGTGTCTTAGAAGAGGAAAAATAACCACCGAAGATCTATAAACTGTTTAGGGAAATAACCGTTACATAATCCACCAAGATTTAAGGAAACACTACAAGGTTGTTTTTACACTCAACAAAAATAGATCTGCACTACACTGCCAGTACAACTCAACCGTTGATAACAACAGTGGGAGCTGTAGTGTAGTCAAAGCTCAGACATTTTTTACCACCATATTATTGTTCAATCCTGAGGTGCTTATAAAATTCCTATATAAGTAAATGTGCGTTTTTCTGAGTAAGGACTTCAGGATTGCACCCTTGCACTTTGTTGCTTCCTCTAAAAAGATTTTATTTCCCCTAATTGAACATATACCCTTAATCATGTTAATATACAGATAAATCAAGCTCATGTTTCCAGTCACTTTCTAGCAAAGCAAATTCAGATTGAAAAATATTGTCATTAATCACTCTTGGCACTTCAAGTACTCAGGACCCAAGTCTACTGCTAGTGAAGTCAAGGAAAGTTCTGTCAGATTTCAAAGGAAATGGGATCATGCCCTTATCTATGCTGGATACATTTGGTGTGATAACTACTCTGGCTATCCTAGCATGCTATCCAAATGTACAATTGCTAGCAGTGGTGCAGAGATGATTCTATCATTGTTGTATTTGTACTTCCTCTGATCGAGGCACTCTCCCACTGTATATATGCCATTAACATTGATGCACTTCATTTTAGGTAAGTGCTAATCAGGCTTGACAAAGCTCTGGCCGGGATGATTTAGTTGGGGATTGGTCTTGCTTTGAGCAGGGGGTTGGACTAGATGACCTCCTGAGGTCCCTTCCAACCCTGATATTCTATGATTCTATGAAATAAATTAGATCTTTGGGGCCAGATTCTCAGGTGGTGTTACCTGGTGTTTCTACCTGTTAGTCAATGGAACTATGTCATCTGACACCGATGAGGATCTGACCCTTGAATGGATAATTACCACTTTAGCCATGGCATTAAGTGGAATTATATGTAAACAGTATAACCTACAGAAAACACTAGAAATTCAGCAAAGCCAGAAGTTGCAGCTTTTGATGGAAAACATCCTTCAATTTAAGAGAGCACCTCCAGAGTTAGTCATACTATCCTATCCAATTGGATGCAAGCAGTGAGAGTTTTGGTTTGGAGCCCAGTCTTCTATTAGTCAACTTACTTATTAATTTATTTATTATTATACTAAGGCTGCCAGTAATTCTTGCTCGCAAGCCAAATGTGAGAGAGACATCAGGGTACTAGGCTAGATGGATTTTTGGTCTGACCCAGTATGGCCGTTCTTATGTAACTTTTGCTTCATCTTCTCTCAAAATGTTATATTGGCCAACATGGTGAGAAGCAGACTCTTGAGAATGTTTGATCTTTTTGAAGTTTTCACATATCCTTTTAGATGACATCTTTTTGAAAGGCACTTTAAAAAAAAAACCCATTCTGGTTCCTGACCCCTTCATCTGCTTTCTAAAGAAGTTTCTATTATCTCAAAAGTCAAGGTAAAATAAGCCTTACTCTAGAACCCCTTTGAATCTTTGCCTTCCTGGGAACTTTACTCTGTAATTTCTGTCATATACAAGATTTTGATAGATGATTCAAAACTATCCTCCACCAAGTTGGATAATGATAAGGCTGAAATAATCCACAAAATATGTCCTGCCAGATTGAAAAGATAACTAGTGGTTTCTCCAAGACAATCCAAAGAGAAAACCACTAGACTTTCAGCTACTTTAAGGTATTTCTCCTCTGGAATCCTGATTTGAGGCTGTTTGTTCAGGTCAGTCCTTTTCAGACTTGATAAACTAGGTGAGGTCAATCACAGATGGGAGTATAGTGCTGTTTTCAACTAGGTTACCTCGCAGTAAAACAAAAAAGCATGTAACTGTGGAAGACTACAGATGTGGTCAGTTTCTTCTATGAACAAGAAATCTTTCACAAGTATCTAGGGACTGAAACATTCAGATCCTGACTGAAAAACAGTCTCTTTCGGCTAGTATTCTGCCACTAGCCTAAACTCTGAGCAGTGTCCTTTGCCACTCCACTGCTGCCAATTTATATATAGTAACTCAAGTGATTATTTTGTGCTTTTAAAGTTATAATAAAACATCTAAATAATGCAGACTTGCATCTTTCTGAAGATCTTTATTCTTCCCAACTTGATCAATTTCTCCTCCACTCCCTAATCAGCTCTAATCTAGTCTACTCATTGTGGAACAGATTCTCTGCCTTGTGCCATTCCCATGAGTGGTACAAAGTGAATGGAAACTGCCAGTAAGATCCCTGCAGGGGCGTCATATCCTTCGGCACAGCGTCAACTGTACACCTCCCACCTTGAAGCTCCTGGAGTTGAACAGGAGGGGCTGGAGTATGATGCACTCTGGCAGCCACCAGCTGACAAATGTCCCGAAGGTTTCAGTTAGTTCATGTTAGAGCAGCCACTGAGTTTAGCATCTTAATGTTCTTGGGGATAATGGATATTGCTGTCCACTCCTAAACAAAAATCTTGGAGACTCCATTAATCTATTTATGGCTCCCAAACATCTTGCATCTTTATTGAGAAAGAATACACAAGCCCAACACTCTGTGTTATAAATAGGTTTAAACCTAATATCCTAAGAACATTTATGCTTAATACTTTTGGAAATCTGGAAGGGGTTGATTCTGGTCAATCTCTGTAGGTGTCCTTCTGTTGTGCCTGTTTGTGTTTTGTAGGATTTATCTTTAATCTTGGAGGATCCTGGCCTAATTACCAGTTGGAAGAAAAAAGAACTGTAGCTGACAGTTAAAATCCTATTCAGGAAGAAACCAAAATATACTGCAGAGGCTTCAGCACTGCACTGAGTTTTACTATACTTCAAAGGCTTATGCAAGGATTAGAGTGACTTATATAGTACTGTACTCTGAACTATTCTAGAAATATAGTGAATGTGTCTCTATGGAATGTTTAGATTCTTTAGTATGTCTATCTAGATTGTTGACTGCTCTGTATCTTCACCTGCAAATAAAATGTTCTCTTCTCCTCACCCCATTCCACCCTTCTGTCACAGTTTAAATGCTTTTGAGCATTGCATGCCTGTCCTTCACTAAACAGTCAGGTCCCAGTTTTACAGTCTGGATTAAGACTATTTTAATGTCAATAGGAGCAGAATTAGGCCAACAGTGAGTGCTTTTGAAATCTTGCTGCTACCTTTACTCGGATAATAAGATTTCTTGCATGAGTAAATATTAATCACCCGAGTAAAGGTAGCAGCAAGATTTCAGAAGCACTCACTGTTGGCCTAACTCTGCTCCTATTGAAGCCAAGCCCATGTTTAAAGGAAAACCATTTGTCAATTGATTTTGATAGGAACAGAGGGCAATGTTGATGCTTTTGAAAATCCTTCCCTTAGTGAATACATGATTCTAGTTGCCAATAGTAGTTTCCAAGAGTATATTTTGTTACAATTCCCAGTCAAACTCCTCCTTTTTGAGTTATTACTTGTCCAGTGTTGCTTATCTTTTATCAGGATTCAGAAGATAATCTTCTCTCACTTCTAGAGAAGAAATAGAGGTTATCAGCACTTTTGTGCTATTATTGATTATTGGTGACCTTTCCTCTGGAACTCCACTTAATCCCCAAAAAGTTTATTTTTAAAAATGCGAACTTACTTTGTTAACCACGAAAGTATTCTGTCCCATCATGCATTCAAATGACAGCTGCATTCACTGTGTCCTACAGTACATCACTAGTCCTGAGCTTCTGGGAAGTATCCCTTAAACAGAAGCTTTCACAAAGAGAGCAATCATCACTACAGTAAGAAGTCAGTGAAGCAGTGACAGGTATTTCCATAACCTGTTCAGAAAAATCTAGAAACTATGGACACAGTCTTTAGCAAATATGTATTTAATTAACTGAGGTATTATACTACAGTTTTCCCTTTCCATGTAAAAATAGAATATGCCTCTGTTCTAAAATGCGTAGATCTGTTATTTTAAAGAGGTAAATGACAGACTGCTTAGGATTCTACAGGTTTGTTGTGGTTCACAATTCTTCCAAGATATTGTCATGTTTTAAATTATTCACAAGTATTCTGGACCACATTCATTACTGCTGTTACCCAGCTGACTTCAATGAAGATACACCAGTAATTATTTTAGCCCTTTATCTCTAAATGTGCAGGGAATGAAACAAAAATTGACTTCAGTGATATTCTTCTAATTAATTATTTGCATTGTGGTAGTACTGAGGACCCCACATCATGAACCAGGACCCTGTTGTGCAAGACATTGTACAAACAGAGAACCAAAGATGGCCATCAAAGCAACCTTTTAAGGTTATTTTATAATTGCTCTGTGTTGCCAGTGTTCTCTGTTCACCAAGGAAGACCCAGCCCCTGATCTTAGGAGGATACACACCTGCAGGGACAGTTATTTGTTTCACACTCCTGAAAACTTTGCTGTTCAGGTTATTTCCTACCTTTCATGCATTTTTTTTCAGTAGTCTGTACTGTGTATTTGGTGAAATACTTCTGATCACTTGAAATAAATGTAGTATAATGTAAACAGCCTTAGATGTTAGTTTCCTCATTTCAAAGCAAGAAAGCTAATTGTTATGAGAATTTAAAAAATTATGTTGGGTTTTGATGTCATGCTCAATTCTTAGAGGCAGATACTTGTTTTTTATTAAATAAGCTGAGGAGGGTGGGAACATTGGTTCTATGAGATCTATGTTAAAACAAAGGAATCTGGGTGGGCATTCATCCTTATCTCACCCTCTTTTATTACATATTAAACATCACTGAAGGATGGTGTGGGTGCTTAGATCTTTAGCACTAACTGGTTGTTCTCCTCTCTCAAAGGATTTAAGGACTTAATCCAAAGAATGTTTGCATAATGTGCTTTAATTACTATTTCATTTACTAAAGTGTTTTCCCTTCTGTGCAGTTAAGGAGGGACCTGTAGGTTGCCACCAGTGCCACTTGTTTTCTCCACACATCAACCTCACCATAGAACTTGAGGCTTTCATTTTCCTGGGCAGAAGATGATATTCTTTCATTCTCATAAATGCACATGGAACATCTCAGCACTTGGCCACTCCACAATGGAGAGTTTTCAAGGAATGACATCACTAATTAGTATGCAGTGATGTAACCATGTCAGTCTCAAGATATTAGAGAGACAAGGTGGGTGAGGTAATACCTTTGGCTGGACCAACTTCAGTTGGTGGACGAGACAGAAGTTGGTCCAGCCAAAGATATTACTTCACCCACCTTGTCTCTCTCACATCACTAACATTTAGTGATGTTTAGTGATTCCCCAGCTGTAACTATATCTGCGTGGTAAGAGAGCAAGGCCAAAGTAAACCTAATTCTGGAGTCTTAGTGTTATGCAGCAAGACCTTGGACCTTGGTAGGACTAGTTAATTTTTAATCCTATGCTACTGCCTGGATTGATCCTGTGTGTTCTTTATCTGGATTGCATGCTTGTGTTGCACATAAATGTAGTGAAACTGAAAGAATGTGCACTTTTAAACAAACAGATTCTGAGAGAGCCATGTGCAATAGCAAGAGCCACTGTTTTAATACCAATGTTCATTTTATTTCCCCTGTGTCTAACCACAAATGGAAGAATCCTACTTTGTACTTGTTGGGACCACTGTTCATCTCATCTTATCCAACTTTGTCAAGCACTTTGAACCTGGAAATACATGCATGTGATAGAGTGGATGTATAAGTGAAGAGATTCGGAGTAAAATTGCTTTTATGTTTTTCTTGACTGGCTATTCTGAATTATGACTTAATGGAATGACATTGTTATAAATAGTAATAATTCACTGACAAATGAATCTCTGCATATAATTTAATTTCATATGGGACTCCTTGACTTGGAGACATTAGACGTACAGGGGGAAATGTTTCAAGAATTGACCCTAAAAAGATCTTTTTAAAAGAAATACTGAATGTATGTTTTTAAAAGGGGTAAAATGAAACGGTCTCATCATTGCTGTAGTAAGGATTTAAATTCTACAGCTCTGAAAGGCAGGCATCTTCTGTCCTTAGGAGATAAAGAAACTGTTACACAGGTTTATTTATAGCTTAGGCTTATGTCCAAGAACTAAAGGAGACCAGAAGGAGCCTCCCTGTCATCAACTTACTATGACAGTGTTTTCAGGCCTAGGCTAGATATTCAATCCCGATAGCCCTATTATAAGCGTAACTGTAGCAACACTGTAGTGATTATTGAGGAAGCAGTTGTGTCACAAGCCCCGATTTTCAAAGACTTATAAGAAGCCAGATACTCTGGGCTAACATTTCAGCTGAGGACAAACACTAGAAAGGTGAACTTGATGAATAAACTTGTTTCTGCTTTTCAAATAGCTCTCAAATTACTTGGTTTTAAAACTTTGTTTGCCACAGAATTGTTAGATCCTGATCTCATTTGCACTGGTGTAAATGTGGAATATCTCCATTACAGTCCAGTGAATTTGCACTGGGGTATATGAAATTCTAGTCTGCAGTGAGGGAGGTCCCTTATGATATGACTGAAGAAATTGGATTTGGAAGTAACCAGTCCCGTATTGTTTCTTCTGGAGCTCAGAGTTTTTCACATTAGCCAGAGTATGTCATGAGAGGAATGCAAAGTGCACCGCACATATTCAGCTTGGTCTCCTTGCCTTGTACCTACTATGGATGTACACCAGTGCATGGTGGGTCAGAACAAAATATCATCTTTACTCCTCCTTTGCACAGGTGTAAATGACTGCACAAAGCACAAGGCTTTGGAGAATTAGCCCTGTAGGCTGAGTGGAATCCTAGCAAGTATGCCATGGAGACTATGCTCATATGCAGTACAGACACTTTATTTTACAGGAGGAGCAGGGATTTGCCTGGTGCCAGCCTCCAGACACTAATTGTTACAAAGAGAGGGCAGTGCCCTAGGCCAGAAGTTCTCAAACTGTTGTCCGTGGACCACCAGTGGTCCGCGAGTTCCATTCAGGTGGTCTGTGGATAATTCCCTCTAGGGTGCATGCCTGGGCGGCTGCACATGAGCAAATGAAGGGCCACCCACCTAATTAGTGATGCTGCACAGTTGTGGCTCCACTAATTAGGTGCCTGGACCCTGGAGAAGATGCACATGTAAGGTGGGGTGGTGGCCTTGGGGGTGGGAATAAGGGGTAGGTGGGAGGGGGCAGTGGGGTGAGAAGAGGGAGTGGGGGCAATTTGGGACATGCAGGGCTGCGGCAGACAGAGAAAGAGACAATGTTCCCCAGCTCCAGGGCTGCAGCTGCTGGGGAGAGACAGCCCTCCTTCCCAGCCTCAGCTCTGTGGTGGGGAAGAGAACCCCCATACCCGCCTTCCCAGCCCCAGCCTGGGGACTGCCGTGGCGGGGGAGAGAGGGCACATCAATCGCATTAGAAAGGTAAGACACTGATATTAAAATATGAGTTGTTTGCTTTTATTTCTAGAACAACATTTTTTTTATTATTATTAGGGTTTTTTTTATATTGCACTTTTATCCAAAGCGCTTAACAATAGTTAGCTAACGGTACAGACAACATTTGGAAAAATCATTAAAATGGTTCGCCGAGACCCTCAGCAATTTTCAAGTGGTCCACGGGGAAAAAAATTTGAGTACCACTGCCCTATTCAGCTGACTTTTTGGGTGCTGAATGCCTTGGACTGCACTAATCAACCTGTATTGCCAGCTCAATGGTTTTATCAAGTCCTGCAATATTTGGTGTTTTTCCTGTAGCTCATGAGGTCCTGTGATTACATGAGAATCTCTGCTTTCATTTAAAGAAAAAAGTTTTTATTTCTCATGGTTGCAGAGAAAAGTTTGAAAATGTGAACCCTCCAAGTTCAAAAGGCTGAAAAGACCCAAAAAACCCCACATTTATTTTTGTCTCCTGACTTTAACTCTCTGTCTAATGACTTTTTTTTTTTAGGGAACCCTGACTCTCTATTTTTCAACACTTGGAGTTGGCAATGCTACTCTGCATTCGGGAAGCAGAACCAGTGGCATTTTCCTTTGGAGGAGGTATCCCAGAGGGAAAGGGCTCCTCTAGCCCATAATGTAGATCTTCCTCACAGGTGATTTATCGTGACTAGCGTAACTGCATCCCCCTTCCCTTGTTTTTTATCTAATTTTAACTAGATATACAGGTACCACTTGCATGAAATTATACCATGAATAAATTAGCTAAACAGTCAATGGGCACCCAGCAAACACTAGGACTTGTATAAGGAAATTAGGACCTGCAATTCATCACTGTTGGAGATCTGCTGATGATGGCAACAGCAGAATTTGTAGCTTAGACAAAAACTAGGCATTTTAAATCTGGGTGTAAAATTTTCAAAAGCAGCTATGGGCCCATTTTTGAAGGTATTTAGGTGTCGAAGATGTAGATAGTTCCTTAGAGGCACTTTCAAAAGTTTTTAGGTGCCTAACTTCTTAGGCACCTAGACACTTTAAAAATCACACAAAGCAACTAATGACTTTGGAGGCATAACCACTTTCAAAAGTGATTTTAGTCATCTAGGAGCCTAAATCTCATTGAAAGTCAATGAGACTTAGGTCTTGTCTCACCTTATGCTTCACCTGTCGATCCCCCAGTAAGGGAAGTCGATCAGAGAGTTTCTCCCGTCAACCCAGAGTAGTATAGACACCACAATAAGTCAACCTCAGGTACATCTACTCCACCTACGTTATTCACATAGCTGGAGTTGCGTAACTTAGGTAGACTTAGCCCCATAGTGTAGACCTGCCCTAAGTGACCTTTCAAAGTGACTTAGCCCCCTAAGGGCAAGGTTGACAGGAGAAACTCTCCGATCAACTTACCTTATGCATCTCATTCTGGTGAAGTACCAGAGTCGACGGGAGAGCGATCGGCAGTCAGTTTAGTGGGTCTTTACTGGACCTGCTAAATCAACCCTCAGGGGATCAATCGACATGTGTTGATCCCCTGGTAAGTAAAGACAAGCCCTAAGAGTGTGCAGTTACTTAGCCACTTCTGAAAACTTTGCCCTGTGCTCGTTAAGCTGTTGTCAGTGTATTTAAAAAAAAAAAAGTCTGAGCCCTGTTTTATGCTCTAGCTTTAATTTTTGCTACCACTTTGTGAGCTACAGATGTAGATCCAGTATGAAAGTATTTATGGATTGAGTCCATTATTTTCATTTCCAAAAAATGGATCATTATGTGTTCTTCAACATTTACCAAATATTTACATTTGTTTCTCACATGCTTTGCAACACTTCAAAAATATTTGCTCTCATTAAACAAAAACTTCTACAATACTGTTTAACTCGTGTAATATTCTTTCCTCCTCCTCCTCCCCCTTTCTCTTTGTTCTTCAGTCATCATGTTTGAAGTAGGATTTTAAAAAAACAGCAAAGGCTGGAAAGTTAGACCACACACAATCTTGCACTTGTGAGGATTTGTGTGTGTGTCAAACAAATGCCCTTTCTTATCCCTACCTGGGTATAACCTTACTCCGGCAGCTGGCTCAGAATCATCTCCTGGACAGTGGAACATAGGAATTGCCAGACTGGATCAGACCTGGGATCTGTCTGTCAGAGAGAGGATTGTGGAGTAGAGGCCGGTGCTAGTAGCTTCAGAAGTACAAGAAATCCCCCCAGTAAACATATGGGGGATAATTGTATCCCCCACCCCCAACAAAGGCTTCCTCCTAATCCCTAGTACTGTAGTTAGTTTGGTTTAAACCCTGAAGCATTAGGTTTTATATTCTTTCCAATACTTTTTTTTGTGTTCACTATTATAACTCTGGATATTCTTGTTCATATAAACATCCAATTTCTATTTAAATCTTGGTAAATTCTTGGCCCTCAAGGATGTCTTGTAACAATGAGTTCCATGGTCTAGTTATTCATTGTGTGAAAGTGTTGTGGTTTGTTTGTTTGTTTTCAATTCATTTTGAATTTGCTGCCTTTTGGTTTCATTGAATTTCCCTCACACCACATGTAAGGGGACAGCAGATGTTGCTGATCTACCTTCTGCAGATCAATCATTAGTTTATATGCTTCTCTCATGTTCCTTAAGCAATGTAAATTGTTTCAATCCCTCTTTTTTATGAGTTTTTTTTCCCCATCCCCTCAACTCATTCTACTTGCCCTTCTCTGAACCCTCTCTGATTCTTCAGTATTGTTTCTGAGTTGGGGTGACCAGTAATGCACACAGGATGTGTAGTATACATCAGTATTTTTTTAACTGACCAGTAATGCTGTGTGCCAACTGCTGAGCCAGAAGATTGATTCATTTTGGTAATTCTTTGAGGGACTAATTGTTAACTCTGCTAATGTGAAAGTACTGAAGTGCTAACCCTCCGGCCCTGCCAACATTCAAGAATCAAACCATCGGTAGCTCCAGTGTAGAAAACGGTTAATCATGCTGTGCGGCTTCAGTGGCATTTGAGGGGTCAGTTCTTTGCTTCTGTGGAAGAAGCAGACTGCCTTTCTGCGAGGAGGATAACTTTAGCGAGTTAATAACTAATGAATTCCTGATGAAACAAACACTTTACATGTACAGGTCCGGTGGGTCTGTCAGTGCAAATATGACTAATTTGACTATTCTATTAATCCATTTCAATGTCCCCTCTCACAAATATGCCTCTGTATGAGAAATCAATATGAACCCATTACTAATGCTAGCTAATGACCAAATAGATGTATTTTTAAAAGTATGATGAAAGCTCTTTTTTTTTTTTAATGGAACTGTGCATAAATTTAGAAAGAACTAGAGCTGTGCATGAATCAGAGTTTTCCTCCCACAGAAAATGTGCATTTCTGAGAATATTCATTCCAAACTGGAAAGAAAAGTCAGAAATGCAAAACTTTGAGCTTAATGGAAAATTAAAAAAAAAAAAAAAAAAAAAGCCCAAACGCATTTCAGAGGAACTAGAATGGAATTTTTCTAAAACTTCTGGGTCAGGTGCCCAGTAAGCCAGGCTGCCAAGGAGATGGTGATCTCAGGGAGTCGGGCTGGCTGGCGAGGTTTCAGTTGAAAGTTTCAATGGAATCAACTTGTTTCCAAGGAAAATGTCAGTTGTCAGCATTTTCTGATGGGAAAATTGTTCCATTGGAAAATTTTTGACCAGCTCTAGTAATAACCTTTATTACAACAAACACTGGCAATATGTGGATGACCACCAACCAACTTTTGGAGTAATGAGCTACGTTTGTATTTAATGAAAGTACTGGAAAGTTATCTTGAGCAGTCTCTCATTTTACAAATTTTTGGAGGCTTTGAAATCACCAGGAATACTTCAGTAGTGAAATTACACAGTGCAGAGATAAGTAGTTGACATAAGTTGCTCCTCCGGGAATGGATAGTTCTTTTGTATAGGACAGGGGTGGGCAAACTTTTTGGCCTGAGGACCACATCTGGGTATGGAAATTGTATGGCGGGCCATGAATGCTCATGAAATTGGGGGTTGGGGTGCAGGAGGGGATGAGGGCACCTGCTGGGGGTGTGGGCTCTGGGGTGGAACAGGAGGTTGGGGTGCAGGAGGGGGTCAGGGATGCAGGCTGTGGGGGGCACTTTCCTCAAGCATCTCCCAGAAGCAGAGGCATGTCCCCCCTCCAGCTCCTATGCGGAGGCGCACTGCCTTGTCTTTAGGCACCGCTCCTGCAGCTCCCATTGGCCACAGTTCCCGGCCAATGGGAGCTGCGGGGGTGGTGCTTGGGGCAGGGGCAGTGTGTGGAGCCCCCTGGCTGCCCCTATGCATAGGAGCTAGAGGAGGGACATGCCACTGCTTCTGGGAGCCATGCAGAATGGGGAAAGCCCGCTACCCCGCTCCCCGGCTGGAGCGCCATCCTGTGCCAAGCTCCCCCAGCGGGAGCTTGAGGGCAGAATTAAAATGTCTGGAGGGCCGGATGCGGCCCCCGTAGTTTGCCCACCCCTAGTATAGGACCTAGCACAATGGCCCCAGTCTGTAATTGGGGGTTCCTATGTGCAACTGCAATATGTATAATGATTAATAATAGCTTAAGTAATAAAGGGAGAGGCTTACTTTTTCAAATGTGACTGTACAAGGGAAGGAAACAGTGTGCCCATCTTTGCTTTTTTTATTGCTATGAATGGGCTGAGTCACCACCCCATCCTATCGTGGTCTCAGTCTGAGTTAGTGTTCAGACTTGCATTCTTCCTGGAGTCTGGCTTTATTGGTAACTCGTTAACAGTAGCATAGCATAACCCTCAGCTTATGCTCAAATAAATTGGTTAGTCTCTAAGGTGCCACAAGTACTCCTTTTCTTTTTGCGAATACAGACTAACACGGCTGTTACTCTGAAACCTCAGCTTATGCTTCCTCCGTCGTGTCAGCTGTACCCCATCCAGGACTGCCCCCGTCCTACCTCCTGCTCATCTCTGGGAGAGGAACTTCCACTTGTCCTAGACCACCAGGGAGGGTTAGTGAGCCCCACCTGCCACAGTGAGCCTGCAGGAGACTTTGTGCTTTGTTTTAATATCCGCTCAACAGAAGAGCTTTTCAGCCTTTGCAACAATGGACAAAGAGGGACATTAATTGGCGGTTTTAGAGTTCCTATGCACCAGTCATTTGCCTACCTTTGCCTGAAGCTGATGTATCAGGAACATATTTGATGAACGAAGTGTTGTCCATATATTCATTTGCTAGACTAAACCGTGCATGAGAGGTTCCTCAGAAGTAAGGTCAAGGATGCTGTCCCGCCGCTTGTGATATTCTCCAGGAGCTTTCAGTTCCTCAATCAATTAATAGAATGTGTTCTCTGTCTCATGCATAGTTTATTAATTTGTGACATTTATTGTCATGTATGTAATAAGTTATCAAAGTTCTAGACCATGAAAGTGACTATTACACAATACATTAAAACATTGTTTTTCATATCTAACGGTCTCAGAACACTACACATCGGAGAGTGCAACTGACTGGGAATTCCTTAAACAAAATGCGAGAGGTCTGCAGCATTTGATGACATGTGGAGCCTCCTAGTGTAATGAAAGGTATGGCATGCTGATTCCCAAGCCTAGCATTTCGGTGAGATGCATGTTAGATGTTATCAAATTCTGCCAGCCTAACTGTGAAATTCTGCACTGCAAGATGAAGTGAAATTTTGTGTGCATCTTTCTAGTATTGCAAAGACACAATTATTCTGCAGGATTATTCAGGGATGGCAGAGAACTCTTTGTTCTCATCTGGCTCCCAGTTTTGAGTTTGTAATAAAGATACAGTTAAAAGAAACATGCACTTGCTATGTGCACAAACAGGATATGAGAAATGTAGCAAATATTGCCCTTATTCATGTTAAACATACTGGATTTACGGAAAATGCACACTGGCTAATCTATTTAAAATCTTTAATTTGAACCAGAAATTGAGGGTGACATCCTGGCCCTATTGAAGTCAAAGGGAGTTCTAGCTATTGAGTTCAGTGGGGCCAGAATTTCACTCTCTGAGTGCTATTGCTGAATGACCACAGGCAAGTCACTTGACTTTTCTGAGATTCAGTTTTCCATCTGTTAAATTGGGATGATGATGATACTTGGTGTCCACATGGAGACTTAATGTGTGTTGTGAATCCTGACTGCCTGTGTGGACCCTGTTATTGCACACTAAAAGTTCTGTGTATACAGGTCCACACAACCAGTCATTGTGTGGCTAGCTGGCTGTAGATTGACACCACAGCTTGAGGCACATTAAATCTCTGTGTAGACTCCCTCTAAGTATCAGATCCCAATTTAACAGATGGAAAACAGAAGCCAAAGTCTCCATGTAGATAAGCCCTTTACTTTCCTATGTAAAGTGCCTTGAGATCTGTGGATGAAAAGTATTGCATAAGAGCTATTGTTTTATACTTATTTCTGCTATAATAAAAGAAAAGTTAGGAAGCCAGCTGGACAGTGTGTAGTCAAGAAGAGGCATACTATGAATATATGTGGCCAGATTTTCAGACTTACCAAGCACTCACAACTAAAGTTGAATTAATTGGAGCGGTGTGCGCTCAGCATCTCTGAAAATCAGACCAGTAATACCGAAATGCATAGGTGTGTACATATAGAGTGTGTGTGTGTGTGTGTAATATGAGTTAAACACTGATCATATTTGCCAGAAACATGATATGGAAACCCTGCCCACTGCATCACACAGATCTGCCGCCATCTGTTCACAAAGAACTGCTGCATTGAAAAGAGAAGCTTGTAGTGTAATTCTGTTTCCATTAAAGCTTGCAGAGAATTTGGTTTATTCTAGATATTTATTTCTTTTGAACAAAGACTTGATCAGAGTCCATTATTTTGAAATTCTCATGAATATTAACACCTTTTAAGTGAAGGTGCCCATTTCTGTGTAAACATCCAGTTACCCTCTAGCTGCTGAGAAAGCAGGCTTTTGTTTGTTGTTTTTTATTAAAGATTATATTCCCAGAGAGTATATCTAATAACACCAGTAATTAAAACAGCAGGGCAAGCTGTCTCTCTTTTTGGACCATACGGCAGTGCCATAATTAAATGATTACCTAGCAAAATGGCCTTGTTTCAGCATAGCCATTTAGTCCTGATTAACAAAAAGTCTATCTCCTGATTCTTGTGGGAACACACAGGAATTATCAGATTAAGTGATACAATCAAAACAACTACACTTTGTCATTCATGGGTCTTTGCCATAATTTTTATCTAGCCAAATAACTTGGTTTTTTAAAAGCACTTATTAATTCCAGAGCTGCCTGAGCTTACTAATTAAAACCAAGGTTATGTGACCATCTAGTTACACTGGGGCCATCAGTCTCAAGGTACTCAGCTATCAGTATGTTGGATGCTGTGGATTTGAAAGCTATGGGAAATTGAACTTAAACATGAACTATCCCCAAAACAATGACATTTGATGTGATGATGAAAACAATGATCCAATGTGCAGAGAGTCTCATGTTCAGCATCCACTACACAACCCTTATTCTATCTATTGCAAAGATACTGCATCACTGAACCATATTAAAAGGTAACATTTGTGTTGGATCTGTAGTCAATCATGGCACTCTGCTGCTCAAAACACCTCCCATTTTGTCTGTTCCCAACATGACTTGAGATCTGTGAATTTAATAATGCTTTAAATCCTCAACTCTCCACTTGGCAAGGAGATAGTTGTGACGTTACACCTATATTCTTCCTAGAAATATTGTTATGATATGAATATGGCATAACTAAGATATATTTTATGCAAGGTGGGTTGTGAGGTATCATTGGAAGGTTATGATTTACTGAATGTGATTATCATATTTGTATGCATGTATCGTTGCTGTATCTTAAGTTGGCAATATAAACTCTATCAATTGCAAAAGTGTTTGTATCTGGGAAACGCCCATCAGACAGTAGGCAATCAGCCTCAATGGGCCACTAGGGAGAATGATAAAACTTGAAAGATACTAATCTCCTGCCTTCCTGAGAAATTTCCTGGGATGCTGCTTTGACCCTGCAGGGTCAGGTGATGTCACCTGGTATGGAGTACCACCTTGGACACTGCTGGTATTTTTCCACTGGAAAAAGGATTCCTGCCTTATATACATTCTATTTAAGGCTGGGAAGTAAGTCAAATAAGGCTCTTCTCCATTGCCTCCCTGCCCAAGAAGGAAGACTCTGAAAGCACCTGAAGAGACAGAGGAACTAAACTGGGGAAAAGGCCAGGGCTCAGCCCAGGCTAAGAAAGGGGTCTAGTCTGTAAAGAAAAGTAACTGGAATTCTAAGCTGCAGAAACTCTGCAACCTGCCTAAAACAATATTTAGGGTGAGAAATTACATTTTGTAACCTGTTTAATGAATTAAGCTTAGGTTGCATGTTTTATTTTATTTGCTCAGTAATCTGCTTTGTTCTGTTTACTATCCCTTATAATCACTTAACATTTACCTTTTGTAGTTAATAAACTTTTCTAGTTTGTTCTAAAACCCAGTTTGTGCAATTCATACTAGCCGGGGGTGGGGACGAGAAGCTGTGCATATCATCCTCCCCATTGAGGGAGGGAGTGTGTTTTGTTTTGGGTTTTTTTTATGAGCTTGTTTTGAACAGATCTCTCTATACAGCGCAAGACAATATTATTTTGGGATTTACACTGTGGATGATGTGTGCACCGGAGTGCTGGTCTTTCCCCTAGATGAATCCTCCTACACAGAGCTGATTTCAGTCTGTCTGCAGCTGGGTATGGCCTTGCCTGGGTGTGTGCTGGAAAGGGGCTTGAGAGCCTGGCACGGCAACCCAGTGCAAGGGAAACCCAGGCTGGTAGGACCGATGGGCTCAGTGGGACCCCAGCAGGGCTTTGGAGCGGAGCCTAGAGCTGCAGCAGCTCCGGAGCAGTGGAGCTGCAGGTTTTTGCCTGGAGCTGGAATGGAGCCGGAGCACAGCTCCAAAGCGCTGGACACCAGCACATCCAGAGGCACTCCAAAAGGGGGGTCTAACCCATCACAATAGTGATGACAAATGTTCTATGTTGCTGGCTTGTGTAGTTGATACTACAACTGCCCCTAGTAGGTCTGGGAGGAGGGGAACCTGCTGGGGACTGGCAGGTGTGTGGCTGCATTGTTCTCATGCTTCGCCAGTAGCACGATGGAGCACTGGAGCTGTTGGAGCCAGGGTGAAGATTAGGCCGGTTCTTGCTTGGAAGAAATGCTCCAGCATTACAAATTGCTAAACGCAGTGTAGCTATAGAATCACTTATTGCAGTATATATAAATTCAAGTTGATACATAGTTACTCATACATCTAGGATAGAAACTCCATCTGTGCAACTGTTGTGATAATATGAGCCACTCAAGTTCATTTCTAGAGCTGGCAAGAAACTGAAATTCTGAGGGAATGTGATGGGAATGGTGATATTTCACTTCAACCTTTTGGAAATGTTTCTGAGATTCTCTGAGCTGCCTGGAGGGAGCTTGGGAACCAGGCTCCTCCTACCAGGTAGGGAGCTTGGGAACTCTGAAGGCTGGAACTGCTGAAGAGCTGGGAACTCTGGCTCCTGGGCAGTCTGCCTAGAAGGCTGCTGAGGGACCAAGGAAGCCCGGGGGCCCGGAAGTCCAGGCTCCCAAGCAGCCAGGGACCCAGGTAGGCAAGCTGGCAGGTAATCATGCACGTTTCTGCCAGAACCCGGCCTACTTTCTATCAGAATTCCCCTAAAATTACCACATTCCCACAGAATGCTTTGATTTTTGGCAAGTTGGCATTTTCCAACTCCCCAAAAAAATCCATTTGGAAAATTCCTAACCAGCTTTATTTCCCTCTTTGAGGGATAAAAGTTGCAACCTTTATCCAATATAGAACAAAGCGTGGTAAGAGAATTATAATTCACGGTCAACACAATGCACTAATACTGGAGAAAAATGTGGCTTAAATTTGGCAAGTCAAGTTTGTCAACATACATCTCCAGCACGTTGAGAAAAGCCTGGACTCCACACGACACCAGTTCCAAAATCAGAGTGAGTCTGTTGACCACAGAGCAGCCCCCAGAGAGTGGAGTGGTTGTATTGCGTTGGTTGTCCTTGTTTCCAGCTGAGATAAAGAACAGATGGGAGTGGGCGATGAAATTATGAGCCAATGCAGACTGTGACTATTTTTTTCAGAAAGGGCAAAACACTTACTGTACTAAAGGCAGCTAAAAATACAGAAATACATTTCTAGTGTTACTTATGCATGTGTAAGCAATGGCTGCAGTTGCCCTATGGGTCTCACGTGAATGCGATCGGGGAAGAGGTGGTCTCTGTGTTTGCAGATAGGAGTGGTGTCCATGGAATAATATCATCAAGATGCTGTTCACACAATGGAGAAGTTTGAGAGCCCCTCCCATAAGGTTTTAACTACATGGAAGTCCTATGACTCATGATATAAAAAGATGATCAGGGCAGTTAAGACAGCTTAATCCTTCATGCAGAGTGGTCAATAGTAAAATTACCTGTTGGCTGCAAGGCTAGATGTAAAGAAAATTGGAACTCTAATGGCCTGATTTTCTGCCTCTGCATTTGTTCCCCAAGTGCAAAGTTGGTGTGCAGGTTTATCTCAGGGAAGTAGGAAAGTCCGATTTTCCCTTTTCATTAGAATTGGTCAACATTTTCTGAAACTTCAAAATTTTTACATGGGAGAAAGAAAACTTTCCATATTTTTTAAGCTCATTTTCTCTCTCTCTCCCCCCCGCATCTCTATATTGGTCAAAAAATTAAATGAAAACCTTTCACAATACTTTCCTCCGCCACTCCCTTTTTGTTGTTGTTGGGGGGAGAAAACAACAAGCTCTACATTTTACAGAGGGTCAAAATGAGTCAAAGAGGTGAGATCCTTACCCTCTCTGGCCCCTTTACACCAGGTGCTATGAAGGCCTTGGATCCCGCTGTGGGGATGATTCCTCTGGAGCAGAAACTGCTGAAGAAAGCCAGGCTGTGTTCCAAAGCTCTCCTCCTATGGTGCCCGAGGTAATGTGATTTTAACATCATTTTATTCCCTCATTCTCACCATTTCTTAACTAATGAACACCGATTTACCATTCAGTTTCAATTTCCATTTAGTGCCCCCAAGTTCACATCTGTCTCCCATGGCCAGTTAGAAGAAATATCCTCAAATCCTTTGTTATCCTTCCTCATGGAATATTCTTCTAGAAGCCAGGAAGGGGCGGGGGAATGACTAAGCATCCTCAAGGTATGTTGCATGCCACAAAAGACACATACTGCCAGAATAGATGTCCAAAGAGGCACAACTGGAGTTTTTCAGATGTAAAAATCTATTACAGACCAAAGAAAATATCTTCAGAGAGAAGTTGAGGGGGAAAAACCAACAAATTGAAAAACGGCGCAGGGCAACCTTAACATCACTCTGGCTAGTGTCAAATTATCTGCTTCTATAATCAAAGGAACCCATTCAGGAATATTTTCAGAAGTCATTCACTTCCCCCATGATCACAAGAGCTGGTTAAAACCTCTAGCTTCCTCAACATGAGAATTATGTATCCAAATCTAAACTGTCACTGTAAATGAAACCTTAGAGCTTCAGGTTTCAGAGGAACAGCCGTGTTAGTCTGTATTCGCAAAAAGAAAAGGAGTACTTGTGGCGCCTTAGAGACTAACCAATTTATTTGAGCATGAGCTTTCGTGAGCTACAGCTCACTTCATCAGATGTATACCGTGGATACTTCAGATTCTCAGTGTCACTACCATGCCTTTCCATGGAACAGTTCAAGCCTTGCTTCTGTGGATGCTTGTTACTGAAATCTTTGCCTATTGTTTTGGGGGAGTTGATAGACTCCAAAGCGCTGTCAGCTATAAGGATCCTTAATCTGATCCCAGAACACCTTTCTTTAGAACAGTCATTATTAGTATATTTAGAAAGGCCCCTATCCTGGAAGTATATTGGGCCAGATCTCGGCTGGTATAAATAAGTATAGCTTCAGTGACTTTAACGAAGCTACATCAATTTGCATCAGCAGAGGATCTGGCCCATCCCCTTGTTACAAGGTTATAGTCACATGATGTAGTATCCCACTTTGGGAGAAAACTCATCAGACAATTTTTGCTTGTATTTCTGTACTATTTTGACCTGATTGTAGTTGTTGGTTTCTTTCTGTCAACTCTCCTCGGCTGAATGCATGCCAAGTGGTGCTTGATGATAAAGCAAAGTCATAGAGCAATAGGGGAAAGAAAAGCAGCAATACTGCATACATGAGTGACCCTATATAAATGCACACCACGTGATAGCTGATGCTAAAATTAGATTAGTGGTAGAGGAAAGGAAAACAGGGACTTAATTATCTCTGGGGTGGAACAAGCAATGAAGAAAATCCCCTATTTTAAATTTAACAAAGTTTGGGACTTTATCAACAAATGCTGTACCAGTATTGGTATGAAACAAGGACTTTGCAGTCAGATTTTACTGTAATTTAAATAGTGTCCTTGCATTGGCTGTACTCTATCCTTGAAAACCGTATCCGAGCAAGACTGTGAAAAAGGAACAAAATTGCCAAAGAACAAGAGAACAGAGTCTTCTCCCTCTCACCAATTAGAATATCAAACAGAAAAAAATTGCATTTCCTATCAGTAATTCTAAGAAAGTATTTGAGACCCTAAATTGCCGAGCTAATTTTGATCTCAATGATATTTTTTTAGATTAAAATGGTGTTTTTTGCAATTACTCCTTCAATACTGAATTAAAGGAGTTGGTTAGGTCTTGCACCTAGAAAGTTGCCAACCTGCGCACATGAATGTCACTTCACCATAGCAGATGCTGCATTTCATATGTCATAATGGAATACCGGAAAGGCCACCTGCAGCTTCTGATTTTAGTCATTGAAAATGCAGCACTAAAATATGTTTTGGAAAAAAATCTAGAATCTACCTTGGCCCTGCCTTCACCCCTCCTAGCTCGGTTCTGCAATCTATTTGGGACTGCCACATGCTTCTGAGTTCCCTGGTGGGGGGGCATGGTAACAGACCTCTCAGTCACTGGTCTCCACTACTGGCAGACTTTCCTCATCCTGGGGTCAACATAACCAATCTATTACACTTCTTGAAAATTGGTTCTAGCTTCCCAGAAAATCATCTTGACAACTTCTGCTTTATGTGCGTATATAGAAAGGAACCCAATCGGCAGTTAAGCAATATCTGCAAGAGGATTTGCACTAGCAGCCTGTTTGTTTGGTACATATCTTGGGGGCAGTGTGAGTCATGAGGCCAAAGGACCAGTGGCTTCACTCACTCTGACGTGGCTTCTTGCTAAATAAAACAGATTTTTAAAGAGTGCACAAAGTCACTGTGGAGCAATGACTAAATAACTTTTGTTCATATTACTGTGCTTGAAAAACTAGTTCATAGAGAAAGAAAGCAACTTAGAACTTTTAAGGATGGGGAGCAGTTGCTGTGGCATACAATAGGTGGTAAAAA